ATAGATAGTACATACAATTGTTTAGAAGTTAATTTTTCTATAATCTGATCTTATGCTCTAGTTGTTGTATATAAATAATTCTGTTTAATTTGAATACTTTCCCTTAACACTTGATTCTGTGACTCTAGATTATTGAATTCATGATATAATCTAGGGCTTTAAACTTACGTCTCTACTAATATTAGGGTTTAGTTAATTATCTTTATAGTATTAGTGGTTACTTCTATTACCTGTATTTTAACTCACTCAGATTTAAGATTTTATCTGCACTTTTACACTGTATGCATGATCAACATTTTGTATAATTTTCTTATATCAACACTATATAGTAATTTACAGAATATCTAATATATCAACACGATAATGCTGTTTCGACTTTGCTTGCTAAAGTTTGATGCAAAAAAATTTATTAGTTACTAGAGATAAGTACTATTAAGCTTCTGATTAATTTTTGTTTCATCCTATTTTATCCTATATTGTATTATATAACTCCTTATTTAGTAATTATCCATATCTGTTTGTTTTTTCTACCTATAGCAATTATTAATTAAAATTTTATGCGTAAGGTTAAATTTGGTAAAGCAAAGGTAAACGGCTAATGGTATTCTAAATCTGAAAATTATTTTACTTAACTGTTCTTGAGAATCTAAGCTATACCCAAAAAAGTCAAGTGCAAACTCAAAGCCAACTTAGTCAATACTAGGAGCATAATTATGCTTCTAAAAAGTTGAATGCAAACTCGAAGCCAATCTGGTCAATGCTAGGAGTATAATTATACTTCTAAAAAGTTGAATGCAGACTCAAAGCCAACTTAGTCAATGCTAAGATTATAATTATGCTCCTAAAAAGTCGAATGCAAACTCAAAGCCAACTTATCAATACTAGAAGTATAATTATTCTAAAAAAGTTGAATGCAAACTCAAAGCCAATCTGGTTGATACTAAGAGCATCATTATGCAATAGCCTGATTTGGTTATAATTATGTATTAAGCCATCCTGCAAGTCAAACATAGCTTCAAGTAAAACAGATCTATGTGAAAAGCATAATAAAGATTGTATAATTGTTAGGGAGTTAGAAATAGTATTATTTCTGCAGAAAAGAGAGTGATAAAAAAAGAAATATTCAAAGGTTCAATAAAAGCATTTATTGTGTAAATTAGAAATTTAAAGACGATTAAAAAATATAAATACGTCTAAGATTTGTCTTATACTTTAGCTTCTGTGATACCCATTAATAAAAAGACTTCTAATTTCAAATTTTATATCTTATCATGATATTTCACTGAACTTAGCCATATAAAATTTTTAATTAGTTTTTTTTGCTTCTATCGATTTAATTTTTTACATTGCTATGCTTGTTTAAATTTTAACGATACACATGTAGTTTGAATTACACTTATTATAAATATTGATTTCTTATATAATCTAAGCACTAACTCGTAACTACTAGAGTCAAATCATGTATACATTATATTTACTTTTCTAATAATAACAGATATACAAAAAAACATGTCTAAAAGACAAAAATTTGCTACAAAAATTTTAAGTATAGGTATCATAAACCTTCTGCTACATTATAGAATTTGGGCTAGAACCTGGTAGGAAGCAGTTCATATAGAATTAGAAACAGAACTGAAGAATTTTATAATACCTTATCGCAAATATATGTGTATTGAATGTTGTTTAATTGTAAGAATTTTATCATTACAGTTTTGCCAAATAGCCAAAATCCACTAAAACCAGGTTTTCAATATTGCTGTGATATAATTCAAAGTAATATTGAATCACATCTATTAACAGCAATTAACATATGTTATCAAAAAGTTTTTGAAGCAAAAACAGAATATTCTAGCTTAGCTGCTGTGGGTTTTGAGAATGAAGATATTATTCAACAATTAATTACTGATGTAGTATTTTTTCTAATATTTCTTCATATTGTTACAAGCCGTTCTTTATTAATCTGCAAATTTTTAGGTAGCAGAAAGTTTTTCACAGTTATTATTTAAGGCATCAGTTTATTTATCAGTAAACAAACAAAACCAAAATCAATAAAATCAAAAATAAAAGAAAAGAAAATGTTATTTCCAA